GGGTACGAACGAGATAGAGTTTATATCCTGTCAGTTCCTACTGTATCACGGACACGGGGGATTGGCCGTCCTCCAAGCTGACAGGAAAGGAAAGCATATCCAGATCAGCCTTCGTGTGCAAAACTGTTCATTCACAGCTTACGAAGCTGAATCCGGAAAACCGCCCCTCCTCACCGATTCGGCAGTACATGTCTTACTGGGAGCTTTAGCTAAATTGAATGCGCTATTGGAAAACTGCCGAATGAGCAACATGAGAATGAGCACCATAAGACTGGATAACATGAAACATGCCCGAACAGAATCTCCAAAGGCTGTACTTTCTATATACGCCAACCGTCCTCAGAACACCAACATCACGATTGCCAACTGCACGTTCACAAATTGCTCCTCGGGCAATATAATTAAGATGGTGATATATCCATTGCGGGATAGCGACGTGACTCTTGTGACGGTGATTAATTCAATTATCGCACGCAGTCTCATCTTCCATAGTCCGATATCCATTTCAACAAGTTCCAGAGTCCGATTTGCAGTTACGGATTGCAATTTTGAACTAAACACCATCGGTCCGAATGCATGTTCTGCTGGGATTCACGTGGAGAAACATGACCATAAAGTCCACGAATTACTAAAACTTACTTGGAAACCAGTAGTAATCCGTTTGGATCGAGTTTCGTTGGGCGCAGCGAATATCCTGGGAAAGTGTCCAAGTATGAATACTTCATCATCTGTAATTACTCTGCTTGATCCGGCAGGTGCTGATGAAAAGGGCGTCACTAACATGAATACTGTTCAGACCCGTGATTGTCACTTCGAATGCTCGATGGATCCACAGACGCTGAAGTGTATACCGATTATTTTAGCTGTGGGTCCACCTGCCAAAGTTGACCTGTACGGTCGGAATCATATCGAGTAAGTCTGGACCATCATCTTGCCTCTGAAGTAAATACACATGTATATGTATGGTGATTAAATAGATCGTAAAGTTGTTTGGATACGTTCGATAGGGTGTGGCCTTTGGGTTATCACTTCGAGAAATGAAATATCAAAAATAGCACAACCCCCTTTTTGCGTCTTTCCCTGAATGAAAATAGTACATTTAACCTTAATATTCCACACTGACTTTTTCCTACACGTTCCCAGTCGTATTTCACTGAGTATTTATGAGCTTAAATTACATTTTTAGAGTTTTGTTCTTGTGTTGCTCTTCTAGTACATCGCTACTGAAAAGAGACTACGTTCTTCAGCAGAAAACTGGAGTATGACGTGAAGGTGACATGAAATCTGCAACTGAGTACTTCCGATGTCGCCGAAAAGTGATGAAATGTGGAAAACGAAATATTGTTGGGTTGGCGCACTAAGATGCCTTTTTACTTGACAAATATACAAGAACTGGGTTGTTTCTAGGGAGTTTGAACTAGATATTTTGCCAACTATTGTGAAAACAGATTAGATAAATGGACACGAAGGTTGGGTCCATTCGGAAACCGGATACGCATTTTTGATTCTCCAAATAGTTTGCAGAACATATTGGGTCATGGTGGCCCTTATGGAGTTCTGGTAGAACATTCAATAGCCGGAAATAAAAGATTCCCCCTGGACTCCTGATATATCACAGATTGTACAGAACTGTGCAGTATACTCAACCATCGATGAAATGGTAATGTGCAAGGAAGGTCCTGACCTTGTTTGTGTTCAGAGTGGGCGACTGACTTGTCTTGGTGCAGCATCAGGTCCTTAACGCTCTAAAAATCTAAGCTTTATCAAAGCTCCCTGGATTTCGTCAAGAAGGTAGCGAGATGTGTCCACGCGACACTGAAAATGAGCATTCACCAGGTCGGTATCGAGCTGCGCCAAGAAAATGAGACGCCTGGATGCCTTCTCATTGGCTATCTAAGGCTCTCGTTATGCTGTTCAAGTGGAAGATGATCTCAGGGTTCGGATTTGCTCCCTAAATATCCATGTTAGAATGAATTGAGGAGAGCTAAGCCATAGGTGATCAACAATATACCACCTATTTTATATGATTATCACACTAGTCAGAACAACAGATGGCTTGATCAGTCACAACTTAAAGTTTCATGCCATCTCAGGCACTCATCAGGTGATATGAACATCAAGAAAAATAACCCACTATTTAAAGCCCAGTATGGCGGGACAAGGATAACAGAAAGCGCTAGGGGCGCTATCAACTCATATCCGATTCAGTGTCATAGCCAGTAAGGATCGCGGTACTAAGGTGATAAAGGATAAAGGTGATAAAAGTGATAAAACTGAGCTGGCCTAGCTAGTGAGTTCCGCGGTGCAAAGATGATGATGGTGACAAGGCGGCAGAGAGCTATCAACTGGCCCTACTGCCTGGAGGCAGGGTGCCGAGAAGATCATGTTATCGGTGTTGACAGCATGAATTTATTTTGATGTCGACATTTGGATATCAACTCCGACCGCTTGTTGAGGCTCGATCTCCTGTCGGCAGTGATTATTCTCGCCTTCTCCTCGAGGCAGAGGCTGCATCTTTTTGTTATGTTGCTGTCGGCCTTGGCCTTCTGGACCACTCGCCACTTGATGTCGTGCGTCTTGCCATTATCTTTTAATTCCCACACATGCTTTGAGAGGCCCGTGGATTTGCGGTATCCAGGAAGCTTGATGGATGTCTTGTGGTTCCCGTATCGAAGCTTGAATGGAGGCTCCGTACTGCCAATGTAGGTTTTGGGCCCATCGCTGTGGCCATCACTCGACACCTCCGCCGCGTAGACTATGCTGGTTGCTTGGCACGCTCCGTTGAGAGGGCACTGGTCCTTGCGACGGCAGTTGCACGGCTTGTCCGGTTCCTGGACGCACAATTGACGCTTATTGTGGCCACTGATAATGGGGGCCATATTCGGCAAACAGGAGTAGCTCACCTTCACATTGAAGCGGTTGAAGATTTTGTTCATTTTGGACCCCTTAGGAAAATGCTTGTCGATCAGCCGGAGGAAGGTGCCGGCGATGTTGGTCCGGACACTCTTGGAGTATGGCGGGTTAAACCACACCACATTCCGTTTCCTTTTTCTTTTTTGCTTGCTGCCGTTCATTGCAGCAGGTGGCGTTGGGTCAATGTACTTGATGTTGGCAGGTAATCCGCTGGCCGCTAATGCATTGCGATATGCAGGGGCAGCATCGGCGAATACGCCGCTGTCGGCAGATATGCTTGAGACACGTCGAGCGATCATATCAGGGATGTTCCGTAGTATGGATGGTGGGTGATTGGACATGGAGTTGACGTAGAGAGGTGCGTCTCCAGGTTTACGATACGGCTGGATTATCATGTAGTTTTCTTGGGGTAAACAGACTCCACGCATGTTTTCCGAAATAGAATTTAAACCAATCAAGAACTCATAAGCCAGACAATTTGAATACGTGTCATATCTAGTTTTTTTCTTTTTTTTCTTGAGGAATACATGTACCTGTAATTTTATGGAGACATAATGAAAGAAAATAAATAATATAATACATATACTTCCTCCGCGTCATTAAAATTGTCGCTTCACACATCGCACATCGCAATATTTGTGACTTGGCTCGTCTTAGTCCGACTGTCGGAATCGCTGTTTTCTGTGTTCAAACACTGATGCGACCCTTCCTGCGCAATGTCTACTTGTTACTTGTCTACTTGTTACTGAAGGCGTGGTGGTCTCGGACTTTGTCGGAGCTCTCTTCCGCACCAAGCAAATTCATCGCGCTCCGCACTATTCCGCCCCAGAGCGCATTTCGTTTTCTGGAGTTCGTGCCGTCCCACATGGTTCGAGTGGGCATTTATCAAGACTGAAAGCTCGGTTATAAGAATCCTGGTATATCTCCTGAATACGAAATGCTGAAGTTGACGAAGGCAAGAACAAAGTTGTGTCAAATTCCTAAAATGCGCTACTTGTGGCGTATGTTGCTGCGAAGGTAGCAGGTCTGAAAACACCGACAAAATCAGCGAAGCGCTTGCCAAGGAAAGAAGGTGTGGAACTGCTTACCCTATCCCGCCGGCAGGTCGTTACAGTGTACTTGAAAAATGCTAGCTTGCCTTCTTCGCCTGCCACCTGGAGGCATGGATCGCTTGAAAACGAAGTTTCTTGACCTGAATTGAACGCGCGTCTTCTTCAGCGTATTGTTGAGTGCTGAAGGGTCTACCGCAGCTCATGTAGCGGATACACACCCAGTGTAGTTTTTTTTATTCCTTTTTCCGCTTCTTCCGTAGGTATGTGCACTGTGATAAAAAAATAATAATAAAAGAATAATCAAACACATGTCCATCCAGATCGATTTATTGATTGCGGTTTAAAAATAGTACTTCAAGTTTACATTTCATGAGAATGAAGTTGAAGACACCAATGCAGCTGTACTTATGGTTGATAAATATGGTGGTAAAGACACAACTGGCAGTATGATACCATTAGTACAGCTGCAGTGGTGTCTTCAACTTCTTTCTCCGGGAGTCAAGCTCCGTATGAAGACATCCAAGAAGAAGATTGCCCGATGAGTCCAGCGGGGACGAGACGTACGTCGCAATCGAACTATGTCGTTGCTGTTTCATCTTCTATGTGCCAAGCGCTACTTGATGTACCAGCCTGCTATGTCGGATACCGCCAACTATGCATCGACTAGGCGCCAGGCGCGAACTGACGGGGGTGGTGGTGAGAAGGAGAGCTCTGTGCTAGAACTTTGCAGCTTAGAGAGCGTGTGTGGGCAGGTGTGTGTTTACATTTCATGCGGTGAAAGATTTCATTGTTTCCCATTGCATCCCTTTCCCATTCCTTATGCAGAGGCAACTCTTTCATTAGGGCGCCAGTAGTTTCTCAAAATGGCATACTCAATCTCATCGGCTTAATAGCAACTGTCGTGGATATTGGCACGTTATTTCGACAAAGTGGCCTCAGCATTATATGGCTTAGCCCGGTAAGTATCTGTCCATGCATGAGCTGAAAACGCAAGAACTTACGTGCACACGAAGGTTTACAATCACATAGATAACTATGAAGTGGGGAGCGGTACAGAGTTTCAATGATACGTCCACAATGGCCCTGTACTAGTCTCCTTCACGCGCTCTTCAGCTGACTAGCCGCTACCCTCAGTAACTATTACATTGAACAGAAAATCCAACAAAGGAGGCTTCCGGTACTGACAGTGAAATTTATCCTAGCAGTTGTTTCAACCTGCAAAATGCTTGTCAGATGCGGTGATACTGAATCGGATTTTGATGGACATGGTCAATTACTAATATTGCAGAATATAAATATAGGCTTAACTCCGATGGTGAGCCAATTAAATTACGGTGAAAAAGGAGGACAAAATGTTACGAGTTATGACTATCTGTCCACCAAAATAACCAGATCTTATACAGTTAGCGAGTGCGACAAAATGGCACAAAACTGACAAAGGAGTACTGAGACATTCGGCGATCTGACACCTGGCTCTAACACTACTCCAAGGCGCAAACCAACAACCTTCCAACTTGGAAGGCTCCGTTTCGGAAAGCTCTTGGACCTTTCAGAACCTGAGCGTTCCAAGTTGGAAGGTTGTTGGTTTGCGCCTTGGAGAAGTGTTGGAGCTAGGTGTAAGGTCGCCGAATGTCTCAGTACTCCTTTGTCAAATTTGTGCCATTTTGTCGCACTCGCTGACTGTATAAGATCTGGATACGTTGGTGGAGAGGTAGTCATAACTCGTAACATTTTGTCTTCCTTTTTCACCATAAATATGAGCTGACTTGAGCAAGGCGTGAAGTGGAAAAGAATGGAGCATTAGATTGTCTACAATAAAGGAAAGTGTGCCGAAGAAGTATTCTCCCAAAAACACCGTATGATCTGCTTGCAATTCTATTCTCAAGAAAATATATTTGACGGGCCAGGGCCAATGACAGCAATGTTTTTCTGTTCGTTTCTTCTGCTGTGGCCGCCATAATGATGTGTCTAGGCGAATTTTCAGCAATTTCTGAAGCAAAATGTGTCCTATGGATGGTCAAATATCGGAGTGAGCGTTCGTAAGCAGTACAGGGATATCGGACAATGCTCACTGGATCCGAAGATTCACAGCCCCTTGGTAAGACAAGGGCCAGAATACCAACAGACGCCATGAAAGTGTGGTCTAAATTGAACGGCGTCATTAATTACATACACCTTCAAGTGAATTTTCTTTACAAAAAAAAGACGATAATAATATCTGCCATGTACGTCTTGATGCTTGCTGTCTTGTTCAATTTCTATGAAGACGCACTATTTTTGTAAGCAGAATCTTTTTGAAGGCAATAGCTAGGTTGATATACTTGTTTAAACCAGTTGCGACTACTTATCTTAGTGTGCATACGTATTCCTCTCCAGGAGAACTTCCGTGATAAATGCTACATCCAAGCCGATCCGATTGTCCTCCTCGAAAACCGATCCACGTTCAAGAGCTACGAGAGGGATCCAAGAAGTAATGGGTCCTGTGCTACATTCGGTGCAACTTGGGTTGATACAACTCAACTGACCAATGTCGGCAGGGGCATGGATCAATTCCTCCAGTGCGCTGTTGGCAACAGGTCTATTTTCACCGCAACTAACCCGGACAATGCGCTCGGCAAACTGTTAAAACTCAGCACCGCCTGGATTCTTCTGGGACAATCAAGTACGGAGTGCTACAAGCATCTCGGTAACATCTGGCTATACAAGAGAAATCAGTGTAGTATGGAAATGTTACAGGAAACGTACATAATGAAAAGGTAATAATTATTACGTTTTATGGATATCGAATATTTAATATAAACAAAGTGCGGTTACGGTGCAACATTCTCATCCATACTAAGCCCACCCTCACATATCTTTCGAGCATAACACGCAATAGTACACACCATGGGAATTTATCCAATACCTAAAATATATCGAAGTCGTTCAAATAAAGACTTTCCAGCTTACTACAGAAGTCCTTTCACACCGCCCGAATTTTATACACGTTTATACACCTTTTGCTCTTTAGATTGTCTGCAGGGCAATCAGACAGCGCACTTCAACTCGTTGCCGAGCGAATGGGTGGCAACAATGTTAGGGACCTCAGCAACGTTATCATTTCTGGATCACTTATCTTGGCACCATGGTCGCATTTTAGCGGCATTCACTGGAGCTCTTCGGCGGGAAATGCATCTGGGCGCATCCTCTCACGTATTACGTTATACCCAGCGCCAGGAGAGCATATTACTGTCAATATCCGCACTTATGATGACTTACTGTCTACGACTAGTTCTAGAATGAAAGTTCATGTAAGTTTTAGTTTGGCAGGATTATTAGGTTGTTTTTCTTTTCCTGAGCTGTGAAAATTGGGGGGGGGGGGCGGAGAGATTCTGTGACAGGAAATCGGCAAACCCAGAAGAGGAGACGGTTTCAAATAGGATATACGTTGCAAACAGGCCCGGGCTCAATACTCACTTTCTCTCTTGGTATTTTGATTAGAAAACATAAAATTTCACAGTGGGACTACGATGTGTTTTACTACGAGCCAGAAGTACATGGCTCTGCGATGACCGGAGGCGCCATATCAAACAGTTGACTTTTTGACGTGTTGCTGCGACTTGAGTTGAACGTCTTTCCAAAAATCAACTTCTTCTCGCAGTTAAAAAGCTGCTCGCCTCTCGCCAATGAAGCAAGTACCAATGAAAAACTACCGGAAGCACACACACAAAGCTTATTGTTTCTCTATACTGGGCGTGGTGAACTTAACGTGCACTACAAAACTATTCCTGTTTGGAGCCAAATCTGCGACACCAACATTTGAAATGTATATTCGGGCAACTTGGAGGGGACGGGCCTACACAAAGGAGTGGCTCAGTTCGATCAGAACAAACTTCAACATGCCAGCTTCCTACCACAAACATATTTTGAGTGAACTATCCACGATAATGATCCGTTTGGGTCTACACAATTTTGCGGACACACCGGTCCTATTTTATACCATCTCACCCACTTATAAAGGCTCCACGTGACCCCTTTTTGTAGTGCATGTACTGGCAGAACATCACATGAACAGCACCTACTGCTCCATCTATTTGAAAGTTCTGACAAGCAACATATGGCCACCTAACATCCAGGCTATAGCAGCGCACTGCGGATGATTATGATGGCATACGTACGGCATATACACGGAATAGGTTTTACAAGTAGCAAGATCTTTTGTACAGTTGCTTGTGTCCGTCACTTCCACCACAGTTTGTCTTTCAACGCTGTCTTGACCTGTGCTCCCATTACTACAAGAGAAACTAACTTTACTATAACTGAGGAGAAGTTATGCTTATCTTAGTAGAAGTTCGGTCGAATTCCATTGCCATCTTACGATTTTGTCTCCAAATAAAGTTTGCAATGCTTTATGATATGACGTGCTGCAGTGTCGTTCTATAGTATGCAATGAAGGGCCGTTGATATTATGGACTGGCGGATTGAGGTTTTTGATGAATTCTTTTATATTTTTGTGCTGTCAAATTATGTAGATTATCAGTGAGGATAATGTTTACATGCTACGGTATGGAGCAAGAGATAGAGGTCTGTATGAGCACCTGGAAGAGATGTATTTCATATCAAGCTCGCCTCTCACTGGCATAGCACTTGGCGGCGAACCAGGAGCACGAGGAAACTTCCGTTTCAGGTTGTTGGATGATACTGCCAAAGAAAAGAAGTCTAAAGATGGATTCTACTTGGATGTGCCATTTGAGTTGCGACCTTGTTTTGGAGGCTTCTACGGCCCTCATGTAGCGGTAAGGCATTGAAAAGTGATAATGAATATAATTGGTTCCAAATGCGTGTTTGTGTGTGTGTTGGTGGTTGAGTGCGTAAGGGAGTAATAATTCCTTTTTGACTTAGTTATCTAGCACTTGGAATAAATACCCAGTCCATCCTTACAGTATTTATGTTTCCCCCACATCAAGAGTATGGTCCCTGCTACTCTAAGAACGGTATCATTCTATCACACCCTCATGGAGCCCACCTTGATGGAGTTGTACAGGCACTTGTTGTAGGATCAAAACCCGTATCCTCTTCGCTGTTTGGATTTTTGGTGTGTGCAATGGCTACCGAGGGTAGCAACGTGCCGGCTGAGAGCGAACGAAGAGGGTCTTTTGAATTAATATCAAAATATTGTTATTGTGTTTCCTTGAATTATGCATATTGTGCATCAGGTTACCATAGAATACCAGCCACTGACTCCACTGACTAAAGTGTGCTACTGTATGAATTCTACGGCGATACAGAAGTGCAGCAAGGGTCGCTTTGCGCACATGAAACCAGGCTATTGGGCCGGTAACGTCACAACCAATTGCCGTCGCGGCTCAGAAAAGGAACCTCTTGATTGGAAATCTACTGGTGAAGATGTGGTGTTTGAAACGGAGAGTAACACTTCAAACATCTCGCTCAAAGAGACGCAGGCGTATGGATCATTCGTCGATTATCCGTTCGGTATTGCTCAGTGCACGAATGGACTTTGCAAGAGTAGTGCGTGGCTCTACAATGGATTGGGAACGCCAGCATGTGTTGGTAATGCCGCGGGTATCTTGTGTGGAGAATGCAGAGCCGGTACAAGACTGAAGCTAGCATTAGCGGTAAGAATAGTAACATGGCTGCAAACTGTGACAATGATGCGTTCAGGTTCAGCTCTCTGCCCAGTATGTTGCAAACAAAGCTGGCCATTTCTTCGATATTTATTTTAGGGTGGAAAGCTGACACTGAGATCCAGAGTTCGAGTACTCTGATTTTCTCCGATCGAATATTGGAGTATTCGAGTAATCTTCATCTCCTAAAAATTGCACACCAAGGGCCTTAAAATTACATGATACAACATTGATTGAACCGAGTGGAAGTCATGTTTCTCTGGTATATTGGTTGGTGGGTCATTTGGGCTCTCACTACTCGTGAACAAATGTTCACCACACAGTCCGCACATCAATATCTGACCACTGCTGCTCTGAAACTGCAGATTTCTGTGGTAAATGCATGTACCATGTATGAACGAGTACTCTGATTTTTCCGGATATGATTATTTTTGAAAAAACCGAGCGAGTACTCGAGTATTCGGTGTAATTGTTTCACCCCTAATAGTTATACTTTATATTTGGTAACCCTAAGCGAAAAACACTTTGCATGTTTGCACAAGCCTTCCTCTTGCACGTCTACAAACGTCGCGGAACCAACCCGGCCAATACTGCATGTGCAGCATTGGCCGGGTTTTGTTTGGCGGCGATAGTACATGATTGATTTTACTTGCCTCTTATGTGTCGTTTTACAGCAATGCATTGATTGCCCAATGACGTCATCTATTCCACTATGGGTATACGTCATAACCATGGTGGTAATGACAGTCCTGACATCCATCCTGCTCTTCTACTTCAATGTTGGCCTTTCACCAGTTCTGGATAGCTGGCTGTTCTTTGTGCAGGTAATATTGGTTATTACAAGTTTTTTAAATACATATACATACTACACCATAGCTCAGTGGTTAGAGCATCGCTAGCTACAAGCGAGGGTCCCTGGTTCGAGTCCTGGTGGTGACAGTCAATTTTTTCTTCAGACTTTTCCCGTTTGTCTCTTTCCCTCAAACTAGTGAACATATTTTTTTATTAGCACATAATGAAAGGATATTTACATGTACATGCATATCAGTTGGCGCAACTTCCTTTGAATCAGGATTTTTTATCAGAGAAACCATGCGCATGAAGCCTGATTGAAGGCACCAGACAGCATTTTGTTCGATGGTGCAACTTCAAATCTCATTCTTGGTTTCAAATAGTAAACCACAGGTCAAAGATTAACGAATGAAAGTGGAATATGTTTTCGTATTCTGTAACAAACAATCACTCAGAAGAAAGGTCACATGATGACTAGAATAAATCGGAAGATCATGCATGAAGAAAGTTATGAAGCAAGATATCAGTGATGTGCTGTGTTCGGAAGGAACTCGTAGTACATGTATGTTGAAACTAGAGCCTGGCATGATTTCTGCATCTTTTGGTTTTTATTCAGACGTCTTGGTACATCTTCCCGAACGAAGTTACATTCGTCTACAGCAGCATCTACACCGTGTTGACTTTCGGACTCGGACACGTCTGTCTCAAAGAGGACCTAAATCGACTTCAAGTCAGCACTCTACTCATCATCCAACCAATCACACTTCTTCTCATCTTCCTGGCTATACGCATTGCACGATCGTACAACTACCTTGGAACTCGATTGGCAAGACTACAGAGCCACATGAAACTAGTGCGAGTCATGTGGTTTGTTCTGGTCTACAGCTACTTTATGCTCACCTTCACAGCTCTCAGTGTGTTCTGGTGTGTGCAAATCAACGACAGGCAGGTGCTTGCCATGGATGGTTCCGTAGACTGCTATGTGTCACCGCATCTAGGCTATGTCTTGGCAGCAGTCGCAATCCTGGCCATAGTTATCATCCCACCGCCGTTGCTATTACTCATTCGACGAACACATGGTCATATCATGTTGAAGGGTTTCGTGGACGAGGCATGCTGCATGTACACTGATGAGTGCCGCTGGTGGTCAGCTGTGAACCTGTTGAGGCGTATTGCCATTGGCCTGCTTGGATCACTACCGTTTTCGAGCGCGGTGTCCAGACTGTTGGTGACATCTGGATTCCTTCTGTTGCTTCTAGTGGTGCATAGCACAGTTCGGTACGTTCATTTCTTTCTTCTTTGATCCGTGTTACAAGGCAAATGGTGAACTGTTGCTGCTTGGGTGTCAAGTACACCTTAGTTTAGTGGTTGGGGATCGCTGGTCATTAGCGAGGGTCCCTGGTTCGAGTCAAGGTTTTCTTCAGACCGTTCCCCATTTCCAACTTCCCCACAAACTAATGAATATTTTGCACAGCCTTCAACCATAATGAATATAGTGAAGAACCGTAGCGGTGATGAGATCCGACCAGATTACTCGACCATGGGTCTCTGTCGCATTACTAGCTGGGTACACCGACAGGAAAATAGATAATGTACCCTCCGCGAGTGTGGAGTGGACGATTAATCCTGCTTAATGGCCATTACGTGTTCGTGTGATGGCTGTTCTTGGGTTCACGGGCAACTGGCGCTTGTCATTCCTTGTCGCAACCAAACAAGTGTCTGCGTGCAATTATGTAGATGTGCTAGATTATGGAAAAGATAAAGCGGATTTTATCATCTTCCTGCTGCATGACTTTATACTTTCAGTTTGTGTGGTCTTTCTGCTTCCTTGTTCAGACCTCTTCGGAAGGGTGATTTTGCGGGTGTTGGCTACAACACATGGGAGTCGTTCATGCTCTGCATTTCCATCTGTATCTCAGTACTCTACAGTGTCATGTACGCGTCGCAGATGACCGAAAACTATGTGCTATGGGTCAGTGGGGCACTCTTCCTTACGCCCACTGCGTTGGTGCTAACAGCACTCCTCTACCGACAATGCCTAGCAAAGGAGGGAGGCTACGGCAGATTCAGGACCCTCTCCGCTCGCCTCATGTGGCGGCGTCGGCAAGAGGGACGTAGACGGGAGAGAAACGAATCACATCTGGACGAAACAGCCTTGGCCAACTTGATAGGCGACATCAGAGACCCACTCTTAGTTGATAACATCCGTGATCAACAAGAGGGTCGTCTCTAAATTATGTTGTGTGATCATGCACCTGATAGATCTTCAAGAACACGAGAAACTGTATTTGCTGTAAATTAGCCTCTACTTTTGTCGTAGTAGTAAGCACTCCCCCATTCTGGTCTCTCAGCGCTCACATGAATATCTCCACGCAGAAGTAACATACACGTTCAAGCACATCTTTCGTCAACTTCAGAAGCAATGCAAGAAAAGCCTAGACATGCATTCTTGGTACTAAGAAAATCATACCTATGAAGACAGGAATGGATGAGTATCCGGTCCTCTGTACTAACATTGAATGACAACATGTTGCCATGTGGATCTTCTCCATTTGTATGCATATTGCAACACAAATTCTGTAGTGGATTACTTCAAGCTTCAGGCAATCGCCTATTCGCTCTTTGTACTTATATCCGTAGTGGATCCTTTCTTTTTACGAAAAGATTAATTGAACATATTCATTGCTACGATCATGCATTATGTGCTTGCGCGGCTCTCCCGATCTTTATTACCACCTGGATGTGATTCGGAAGAACAATCTTCCATATTGGCCTTGTCAACAGAACGATAGGCATTTGGAATTTCACATGTTTTTCTACTCATTGTTTCCAAGTTTTTTCTTTCTTTTCATCTAACATGTCCATGTTCGTACCAGAATATTTTTCAAACTCCCTCCTCCGTGTCGTCATGCTCATGGCGTTGGCTCATTTCTTCTGTTGGGGGGGGGACAGATTCCCATGCTGTGTAAAACATTGAATTGTACACCATATCCATGAACTAATCATTCTTACCTCCTTAGTTGGTCATGAACTAGACAGGTTCATTGATTTACACTGGAAATCTAAAATTATATGGTGAGTGTTCTGCATGCCAGCATGAGTGACTGCAGGATAGCCACTACGTTACCGTAGCCACTACGCTACCGTATGTTTAGGCGAGACTGGATCTTGGAGAACTGCACTGTCTGCATGATGTGATCTCCAACACGAGCTGGATGAGTTCTTGTTCAGTATACTACAATGAGAAAACCAATCATCTTTTCAAAAAGAGGGTAGATCTACCATCACCGTCCCCATTGCTGTCTTAGACGCCGCATTTTAGAAACTTCATCTCAGAACCTCCACCCATGGGCCTTTTAATCATGTGATTTATCCCCTGATGTACGTATCGTCTATGGCCGTTATGTGAGTGGTGGATAGACGATGATCAGTAGGTCACAGTAGAACCATTCTAAGATTGATGCAAGAGTCAGACAACTAGTCGTAATACAATTCTGTCAAGGCTCTCTGCAGGTTCAGAGGCAATTCCACTAGTTAAGTGTATTCACCTGTGATGACTCTTTAAATTAAAGGTAGGTAAACATAATGGTCATCTTCAAATGAAGTGCCGGGGCAAGCGTGAAGGATGATTCCTGATCTGGATATTGTCTTAGTATAGCTTGACTTAGATATATGACTTAGAGCGGCCAGTACATTCCACAACAATAGTGGCCATGAAGTGAGAGAAATTTGCATTTAGTGAGTTGTCAGGGTGTTTGTTAGCATCTCCAGCGCTTATATTTTCTGAGATAACCAAAGAAGAAATTCGACAGCAAACTGTTAAACCAGCATTAGGTAACCGTGAATTTGTGGGCTTTTCATGAGATGCTTCTCTCTCCCCGTCTCTCTTCCTCTTTCATTTGTCTTTCTCTCATTCTCCCTCTCTCTATCTTGTTCAAGAAACATCCTTCCTTGACGTGACATATGGCTGTCGTGTGTGTTCACTGACAAATTCGACATGAAAACGCATGTACAGTAAAAACCTGGTTTAAGCGAACACCCCACGGTGCAAGCAGAAGAGGTCGTTAAAGCCAGGTGATCTTTAGAATACGGTCGCACGGTGTCTGTTTAGAACTGTCCGTGCATGGAAGAACGGTCGGTAAGATCAGGTGGTCGCTAAACCCAGAGGTCGCTTACACCAGGTGTTACCGTGTAAATATAATTATATCAGGAAAGATATTACACGTGCAAAGTGAAATAAATATTATCGATAATTTGTGTGAAAAGAGTATCCATGTACTGTAAATAACAGGGGCTTTTGAACGTTTTGATGACCATTTTTGCTGCTTGCCATTTGCTCATGCGTCCACGAACTCAGCCCCAAGGTGATGAGGGTGCACCTGCTTTACGGCTTTTTGACAGGGTAGGTGAGCGTGGAGGTAATTTCGGTGGAATCTGAGAGGGATACTCCTCAGCTGCAGAAGCAGGAACTGGAAGTTGCTGGGAGACTCTGCTCATATTACGCTGCGGTGAGGTGGAGACGCCAAGGGTCGGGTCAGCTTTCAGTCTGCCATCCGTACGAGGCCTGAGAACCAGGTAGGGATCTGATTCGGTTGTGCTCTGCTGAGGACCGGGTAAAGACTTACGGCGCAACGCAATAGCGTTTGGCCGTGCCGGTAGAGATCGTCTGCCGTGATCGATATGTGTTGGATGGTTATTAGCTCTCGTGGTGTGTAGCTGCTCGTACTCTTCCCAGAGTATCGGTGATTGACCACGACTAGGCACTGGCGAAGGTGGCGGAAGAGATAGTCTCGCCGTTGTTTCAGCGCAAACTCTTATCTCCTCAACGGACTTCAGGTCCGCAGATTGCAGAATGTAAGTTTGGAGGGAACGTTGGAGTTTGCTCGGATCCGACTGCCTGGGTCTGCAAACTTTGACACCTCGACTGAGCGCTGTTGACATCTTTATCCTCACTGGCGTGTAACCATGAGAGGTGTTGGGTTCGTGGCACAGAGCAAGTAGCCATTCCACCGTCTTGGTACCTTTGAGACAGTACTTTTTTCCACGCACTGTGCTACCCTGGTTTGTGTGTATCTCCTGCAGTCGCACGGGGAACCTGAGTTTCTTGTTGCGTACGAGCTCTTCCAATGCAAGCACAGTGTAAGATGTGTGTTCGGCGCTTGCCATGAAACCACAGCGAGCAGAAAACACTAACTGAGTTGGACGCGACTCGGCCTTATGGAGAGCACTCCACTGCATAGGTGCATCGCTGGTCGTGAAATAGCATCGCTCCCATGTAACGCATAGCTCTCCGGTTGAAGTCTTGCTTATACGAGTTCCAACTCGGAAAACATCACCATCATACACAGAACAATCATCTCTGTTGGACATCCATCCATTTTGTGCCATTACGTACGCTGGTCTATCAGTCTCAGCCAAGGTCAAGATATCCTCAACGCCTCCGAATGTAACACCGTCGAAACGTGGTTCGGGTGAGAGAATACTAAACTGCTGGGTTTTCTCAAAGCCGGTTGTGGCAAGCTCGATCTTGCTTGCCTCATCGTGAATCTCCAACATATCCTCCTTTTTCAAACCTAGGGCTATCAATTCGCATCCCTGTAAACCAAACTCGTTTCCATTTCGCTCCAGTCGATTACCTTTACAGTCAACTACCTCGACAAGGTCCGGGAAAGAAACACCATGAACGTATTCATCCAAACTCGTCATATTCATTGGTGCTAAATTTCATACCATGTCCTGGCCAATCGCAACCCTCTTCTCACCCTGATGTGAGCGTCTATCGCTACTGTCGAAGTAAGTGAGATCAAAAAGAGTCGGTTCTAGTTGAGCTAGTCGCGCCACACCGGGCCTCTTATCCTGACTGAACTTGAAGTCCTTTGAACTGCCAAGCCAGTGAATCATCCATCTGATAATGGTGAGAGGAAAAGAGTGTTTCACTGTGCACATGTAATAGGTATAATCAACTCGAAGAAAAACTGTCTAATACGGATGCCTTGCTGCTAGGAGGATCTTACGTTCCTACAGTTGTGAAATCAAAATAATAGGAGATTGACTTTATATGTTCCCAGGTCATGGAAGTTCGCATCCTGAACCTGTGACAAAAAGGCTTCTGAAAGGCTGAGGACAGCGGATGTGTTGAGTTAAGACTCGAGGAAGGATGTGTTGAATTGAGATTCTGGGACATCAGACAGCATGCTGCGCGGATGCTTTCGAATGGCCAGGAATCCACAGGTCACGCAATCATAAAAGGACTGTAGGCATCGGATGGTAGCCCTTGGGCGATAATGCTCATGCAATTTGCAGAATCAGCTCAAAAAAGGTAAAAATTGCAGAACCATCCAGACCTTACACATGTACATGTAGCAGGCACCTCGCTGAATTCTGCTCCATTACTCGATCAACATCCCAAGCAGCATGAAACATTCCAAATTATGCCACATGTTCTGCCGCTTTCCCGAAAGCAGCTGGCGGGGAAAATTCGCCGGAAAAGAGACTTATCGAAAAATCGCAAAGCCTTTCGCCGATTTTGGAGGGTTCCTTTGAGAATCGCCGATAACCTACCAAATATTGTTGCAAAGTGCGTTTACGAACCAATGATGTTGTTGCAAGTATGATCGCTGGAGCTTTCTACTTCAATACTTGTAGTACTAGTGCGTTGAGGTCGTGTGACTCGTGTCCTTTGACCTCCTCTCAAACAAACATTAGCCATAGGAAGATCGTCACTAATAAAATCCACAAATTCGCCGGCCGAAAAGTTCGCCGAAAACGAGACTTATCGAGAAATCTTTTCGCCGATTTTGGAGAGTTTCTCTAAGAATCGCCGAAAATCTTCCAAATCTTCCAATATCTCACCAAAGAGTTTGCAATGCATTATGACACTATGTAGAGCATTGTCGTTTTACATGCAATGAAGGGCCGTTGATATGTTGGAAGCAGATTGAGGTTATTCACGAATTGTTTTTTTCTTTATGTACTGCAAACGTTGTAGATTCTTTGAGCTTCGAGCTGACAACTAACTTGAAGTTTTCCGCTCTTCAAGCTCTTTGAGCTCTAGCACTGAGGAGTGAGGAGTGCACTGAGGAGCATTGGCTTTGTCTTTCAATGGAGTGTGGCACACACCGTGTATTATTGTTGTTATTTTTGAATGGCGAAACGAGAATGGAGATTTGGAACCCTCAACGCGCGAGGGCTTTCCTCAGTTGAGAAGCGGCGAGCGCTTGTTCGCGACGATGAAAATTCAATCTAGACTTACTTGCTTTGCAGGAAACAAAGTTACTGGAGAACTTGAACGAGCGAAATGGGAGATACCGACTACTGACGTTTACACCGGAGACACGAGCTCGAGGGCTGGGGTTTCTTGTCGGGTCATTGCTTGCGAATTCTTTGCACAGCGCATGGCCGGTCGGAGCCACGGAGCGCATTGCTGTCGCTCAATTTCATGTACCGTACGGGACCGCGGATCGTTGGCTACTGCTCAGCGTGGTCAATGCGTACGGCACAATGTCATCCATCACCAAGAAGGATCCCGATGAGCTGGAGAAAGTTTACGACACACTTACGAATGTCGTCAAGGGCCTCCGGAGGAGCGCGCTTGTGTTGGTACTTGGCGACTTCAACGCCAAAGTCGGACCCCGCAGAAACGGAGAGGCTTGCATTGGCAGGCATGTGAAGGGGCTGCGTAACAAGAACGGAGACGCGCTTGTGCAGTTTGCTGACATGAATGTATTTGTACTTGCCAACACGTGTTTTCAACATCCCAACCGTCACCTCACGACTTGGGAAGGCAGGACACCTCGTGGAACCCCAATTTATAATCAAATAGACTTTATCCTGTGTAAACACAACACTAAGTCATTGCTGCAGGATGCCAGAAGTTATGCTGGAATTGAGACATCATCGGATCATCGCCTTG